CTGTCTTCGTGGTTGCACGAACTCCTTGAGCGATGCTGCCTTTGATTTCCAGCTCCGCTTTCACTCTTCGGGTCACATTTTTGCCTCCAATGGCCGGGCCCCTTGACCCGAACTTCCTGCTGGTGCTCTTCTGAACTCCGCTTCTGACGTGGCCGTGGCCTGTCAAGCGAGTACACGATTTGCACTTGCACACGCTCCACTTTGACATACTTTAATTGCAGAAGCCTTTTGGGCAGGACATGCAGTTCCTTCCTACAATCATGAGCAAAAGTTCAAAGCCCAAATCCGAGATTCCTCGTTTTGCAACTCTGTCTGCCTTCGCTGAGTGTGGACAGTGGGAAGCATGAAGTGGAAAGCAAACCACATTCCAAAGCATCAGAATCTCGTGGCAGGGTTCTGGCAATTATGTTCCCCGCTTCCTTCGATGGCATTGGCTCCGTGTCTCGCCCAGACCCTGTAACATTTCGATGACACACCATTCCTTCTGATTGGAGTTCGGAAAGGCTCTTCCAAGGTGCTCTGGCGAAAGATCTTGCCATGGTCAGATCCAGGTCGCACTGCCTTTGGTGGAGCAGGCCACTGTGCCTGATCTTCACCATTTCCGCTCCATGCTGGCTGTCTCGCAAGCAAGCGCTGACGTTTTCATAGCGTTGTTGGCAATGCGCTTCCTGCCAAGCCTGTGCCTTGTCTACGCCATCGGGTGTTGATCGAGCATCAATTGCTGCTCCGTCAAGACCAGTCCATGCGCCTCACAGTTTTTCACGCACCGCTGCAAACATGCTGCAACATTCAAGGACAAACCTTCCAAAGCAACATGATTCAAACAACTTGCAGACCGAGATAAAAACAACTCTCGGGTGTGTTCTGTTGTTGCACGCTTTATGCTGTGCATTTGTTGTCAGGCAGGGGCTCGAAAACATGTGTCCCACCCCTTCCATTTGTGGTTAATGTTCCCTACACGGATGCAGCATACTTTTCCTGTCCCAGCTGCTCCCCATAGTCTTGCGCTCTTACAGTTTTGGCATATCACGTGCAACTGCAGCCGAACCCTTCAAGGATTATTTAACTCAGAATGCTCCAGAGTTGCACAGCGTGGTACATGGGCAAGCTTTCCACTTTTGGCTGTTGAAGCAGGCTTGTCTTGAGCAATGCGTTGTGAAGCACTGCGGGGTGTCCAATATTCCTTGTTCTGAAAATACCTCTCTGATCGCCTTTTCACGGACCCTTAGACGCGAACATCATAAACGAACTCCGTTCGTCATGCATGGAGGCCATTTCGAATCCTTACTTTGTATACATCATATAACTATGGTACCCCCCCGTGCGATGAAGGCTTGAAGACTATTTGACATAGGTTTGTGGTAGGAGCGTAGCGAAAAAGCGGAGAAGAAAACAAAAAAAAAAAAACTGGCCGTCAAATAGCCATTGAACATTTGACGACAAGTTGTGTCAAACTTGCCGCGCAAAGCAATGAACCATCGCTCCTTGATTCTTGCCCTTTCGAATAGTCTGCCGGGATTGCTGAACTGCTTAGGGATTCGTGCGGAAATTGTTCAAAAATGTAAGTTGAATGCAACCAGGCCCCAGGAACCAAGAACCAACATGCCCAGGACTCTGGGTTCTTGGTTGCTGTGGCCTGGCTGCACTTATCTTGATCTTTAGCTGCACATCTAAATACAAAATGCAGTCCGGTCCTGGGAACCAAGAACCGAGTATCAAGAGTCTTGATCATCTTGGTTCTTGGTTCCTGGGGCCTGGCTGCACTTATCTTGATTTTTAGATGCACATCTAAATGTTAAATGCAGTCCGGTCCTGGGAGCCAAGAACCAAAAATCAAGAGTCTTGATTATCTTGGTTCTTGGTTCCTGGGGCCTGGCTGCATTTATCTCGAGAATCAAGAATCAAGAGCCTGAGCGTGTTTCCTTTATCCTCCATACTAATTTGCTATAGATATGCGAGATCCCTGATAACCATAAGTTTATGTTTTGACAGCCTCTGCTGCAGGTGGCTTGGCTGCCTATGTAGACTGATTACCAAATTGGCAGTGAAACTAAAAGATAATTCTGCGAGCCTGGGCCCCCTCATCTCGTTTATATCAAACCTTGACTAAAAACATCTAAAACCACATCAAATCTAAAGATGAATTCTAAAGTCCTAGGCTCCTTGTTTTCTCTATATCTGTTGCTAACTGTGCTTAGAATTTAACGAGGAATTCTTAAAATCTGGATTCCAGCCTTTGTACGTATAAAACATCTTACAAAAACATGTCGAATTCGAAACAGGATTTTCTGTTTCTGGGATTTTGACTCCAGTAATAGATCCTCTCTGATACTTGGGGAATTCTTAGATCCTGGGTTCCTTTCTTCTAGATAAAGCCCGTAATGTATTGGCTGTGAATCTATAGGATAATTCAATGATTCTTGTCTCGTCTTATATAAAGCTCTGCACAATGGGCCTCAAATTTTAAAACAGATTCCAAGGTCCTGGGCTCCCTGGTTTTCTATTAATCCCCCTTTCGAAGTGTGCTTTTAACCTTTAACTTAATTAATGAAGAATCCTCAAACCTTGGGGTTTTGCCTGGTGTCTATATACAACATTTACAGGCGAACGCTGAAGCCATAACAAGAGCAGTTTTGTTAGCGCTCCTGCAAGGAACCGCCCTTGACGACTCAAAGTAAAGTCATAACAAACGCCTGTTTCCGCATATTCCCGCTGCCGCGTGCAAGCTGCCGGAAATCGTGGAAACATGGATTTAGCGAGGCCTTTTTGCAAAGGAAATCATAACAAGCGGCTTTCTTGTTAACTGAGAACACAATCGCAAGCCCTGCTTCGCCGCTTACTTTCCTTTCTCAAGAGTCGGTCTGGAGCGAAGCCGAGGTTTCAAGCTAGCACGCAATCATGCATCTGTAACATGCTATCGGACACTGACCCCTTTCGGCAGCATCCTCCTGACATTTAATACGAGAATCCTTTGATTGAGCAATTCCATCATGTACCGTGCATGCCGACGCTCACATTGACATAAGGTTCCTGGAATGATCTGTACATGTGCCGTTGTGCTGGCCTGCGCCATCGTCCGGTGACAATTGTTCCTCGGCCTGAAAGTCCGCGAGCTCCTGCACAGGAGCCAGAGCTGCTTGATGCAGCTGGAGAGTGCACTATTACCAGCAAAGTAGCGTTTCTCAATGCTGCAGCATGAAAGCGCGGAGGCAGCCATGAGAAACGCGCGAAATTCTTCGGCGATTTCAGCGGACTTGGAGGAGCCTTGCAGTGGCAAGGCCTGGATCCTGAACCTGCACTGCAGCCCAAGCAGCTCGGGCCTCGCGCAGCGAACCCGGAGAGCTGAAATAGGTCCTCGTTGCAGCCTCTATTGCTGAGACAACAGCAAGCAAGCAGCAGTTTGATGTTTCGTAAGAACCGCCAGATTTTGTGGTGGCAGCAGCCGCATTTGAACGTGGAATGCTTGCAGACTTTTGCACTGTAGAATCTGGGACATGAGCCGGCAGCTCCAGGTTTGCCTACGACACAGACCATCGCGAACCAAGAAAGAAGCGCAGCTCGCAAAGAACCGCTACCAAAAGCAGAACTCTTGCCTCAGAGGTGCTGCCATGAGAGTCTGTCCACAAACGCCTGGCCATGCATGTTGGAGCCACTATCTGCAGAATATCCCGACCTTCAACAAAAAGCGCCGCAAGATGTCGCAACAATCCAATTTCATCACGGTCATCGCACATCAACAACGCAGTCTAAGGCAAAGCTTTCACACGGCTTCCGAAGTCAAAGAGAGACTCATCAGCCACGGGGTTGCACGTGCGCAATGCGTACACCTCACCTCCAAGACTGCCTTTCCTTCTCTGCGGAAGCTCTGGGTTTGAGACCCGTCAAAAGCATGCTTGTGATCACTCTCTGAGAAAAGCTGACGTGACATGAAGTGAAGTGATTTCGTGATGTGGGTGGTGCTCCGTCAAAGCACAGAAAACGAAGGTTTCGACCACCCAACAGCCCCTACACCTCGTGATTTCGCCCTCAGATTCGCCAACAAGACGTGCCGCCCAAGATTACGCAACATGAGCTACAGTACTAGAGAAATGACGACGGGCAGAAGCAAAGAAACAAAGTTTGGACAAACAGGTGGCTACGCCGGCTACACCTTGAGCCATGTGCCAAGCCTCACCACAGCTTGTGACCTGAAAAGCCTGGAGAGTGCATGCTTCTGTATACCAGGCCTTGTCACTTTTAATCTTCACTCTGAAGACACAGCAGCTTTCTAATCTGGAATGGCTTCTTTTGTTTTGGCACACCGGACGATGGAAAAGCCGAGTCTTGTGCCACGGATGCCATGGCTGCAAGCCCCGGCTGCTCCCGTTCCATCGCGTTCCCCTCCCCTTCCAGGCCTGGCCTTGCCAGCGCCAAACTGCACGGAAGGCTGCTGCTGCATGCTGCTGCACGCTGCATATGCTGCATGCTGCTTTTCTTGCTTCCCGTTGATCGTGGAACAAGAAACAAAATCAGAGGCAAATGACAGCGGGGACTCTATCTGCCTACCTTTGCTGACCGAATCCCTAAGCCATTTCATTCGACAAATCTCTCTGCATATTCTGCACAGCACCTATCAACGCAGCCAGAATCTGCCAGAACATGAGCACATGCTAGCCAGGCCGCGGTGAGGGGCTTCTGCCACAGTGGACCTGAAGGGCTTCGAGCGGCTTGTGCAACTTAGCAACATCCTGACCCGCAACGCATCATGAGTCACAGCCTCAAGTGATCCGCACTCAAAATGCAGCACGTCATGGAAACAGGTGATAGGCCACTGGCTGGAGAGATAGGCCGCAGCACACGTGGGCCAGGGCTCAGGCAGCCTTGCATCTGAAGCAATGCACACTCTTTCTGGTGCATGCGCGCGCACTCAGAAAGGCTTGCACCTCTGATGAGTTCTGGCTGGCATCTTGTTCTAGTGTCTTGGCTTGCAGGTGCCAGCCTTCAGCGAGCTGATGCTGGATCTGATCTAGACTCTTGAGCCAACAACAAGAGAATCATAGGTGCGCGACCATGCATCCGAAACATCCTGCAGCAAGCATGCATCACATGTCAAGAGAGGTCTGTGCCTTCTTCTGCAAATGAGCTACATTCCGCCCATTGCAGGCGCCATGGCAAAATGCAGAGGATCCTGCCGTGCAAGGCTGAGCACAGGCTTGGAGCATGAGCTTGTGAACCGAAGCCTGTCGAATCGGTCTCGCTGTCGCTGCCAGGCTGTGCTCTCTGAACCCTGCCTGGCAAAGAAACCGCTGCTCACTGAGCAAAAGAAAGTCAGCGTACTGTGTGTCAAGAAGGTCTGTTTGGGGCCGCCGATGGCTGCTGCAGCTTTCGCATACTTTTGCCGTCGATCATCCAAATCGATTGGGCGGAAATGACTATCTAGTCGGCAGGTATCGGCAGTAGATCCTGCCAAGCTTGGTGCCTGCTCTACATGCACACATCTTATCGAAGCACACGTGTATGTGCCCCGTGAGTCCAAGAGCCATGTGCACTTCACCCGCCACGAAATGCCACAACCATGCCTGGTCACGTCTTCTAATTCTTCTGCTCTTGCCCTATTAGTGAACAATTCGCGATTCGTTGATATTCGCCCTACTCGTTGCATCTTGTTTTCGGAACACGCTCAGCCGGCTGAGGCCGTTCACCGTCCGCCTCAGAGGTGAGGCGCCGGTCCACGAACATTCGCATGACAGGCTCGCGCAAGGAGTTTATGCGGCTGGGAATACGCTGGGGTCTCCTGAGAAGTCGCTGGACTACACAGCTGTAGGAATCTGTGAAGGCCTCTACAACCATGATAAATTGAGACACTGACTGTCGATGCGCCAAGACATGCTGCTATATGTTTGCAACAATTACAGTCACTATCGCACAATGCTTACCAATGCCATTCCCTCTTCCTGTGCCACACCCCCAAGTCTTCGACTGTGCATCTGAAAAGCATTGACAAGGTCATCAAGCTAACGGAGACACGCCTTTGACTGCTACAAGCATTATGCACACCCATTGCACACTTGCATTCTCCTTTTGCACCTGGGATCACCGGCCTCCCTGAAAATTTGCAGACGCCCGCATGTTGACATTTTTTGAAGGTGCCGCCCGTGCCCAGCACCGGAAATGTTTGTTCAGTCGGGCGGCCTTTGTGCACTTTCGCTATTGTTCACAGCAGCCACACGTCACATATAGCGGGATGAAAGTCTGGTTGCTTTCACTCCCGTGCAGCTCAACAGGGCGGCACACAGCCTGTTGCGCGCCAAGCGGAATTCAGAGGCGCTCATGTTTACTATCATGTACCTCTGGCTAGTAGTCCGCAAAGAAGCTTTCTGGCAGAAGCATCTACGTTTTGCCATACGCGCAGAGATACCTTGCACAACAGCTCTGACCCAACAATCAACAACAAAATCAGCACCTGTGTCGTGGTGTGAGAAATGTGGCTCCAAACTCGCCATGAGGCATTGACCGCACGCATGGAAATGCCCGGTGCAAATCCCCTGCCAGCATTTCGTTATCACCCTCACCTGCCAATCATCTCTGGTCCAGCCTGGTTCCCTGAGCTGCACGACTTGGCATACTTGGATCTTTGGAGTTTGCAAATGGTACTTGCAGGCAAGAACTAGTACTGTGGCCGTAGGTCTGCCTGGCAGCAAGGAAGCCATGCAGCCGGACCCATCAAGGACATCCTTGTTTTGTACGCGTGTAGAATACATCCTGGTATACGCAGCCATACGCAGCCGTTATTGCCATCAACATACCCTGAATCAGCAATTCCGTGAAAAACGCTTGCCGATTGCAGCTCTTGTTGACATATGTTCGCACAACATAGCTGAACAGCATGAGCAGCGGCCACATGTAAGGAGGATACAGTAGCACGGTAGCACCAAAACATCCAAGAATATCCAAGACATTTAAAAACAGAGTAGTGACGTGTAGTGTCGCCCCTCTGCAGTTTCTCGGCTGGCTACTCGTGTTTTTTTTTATCTGCTGCGGTATGCTGGCGGCTATCAACCACGTGCAGATACCACTGGCTTGGGTGAAACCAAAGTCGGTCAAACCATCTTGCAAGGCTCTCACTTCAACACCCCTCCTGAGCAGAAGCTTGCAGCGAAGCTCGGCATTCGTGATTTACAGCTACACGACTCGGAGCAAGCATCATCACACACCTGCTGTTTCGACAACCTCCACATTCGGGATCAGAGCTATCCTCAGGCATCCAAACTTCCGACAAGCTGCGCGGTCAAGTCAGCCGTTTTGCGTTAGATTGCCATGTTTAGAGGGCTCAGGCCCACAAAATATTGCCTGCGAGCTACAGGTCGAAGAAGCAACACAAGTTCCGGCAATTCTTCAGCCAATCCCAGCGTGTAGTTCTTTCCAGTGCTTCCTCTGGGTAGCAGACCAGTCGCCCGAAGAGTTTGGCAGCAGGCCCATCCCGGCCATGTGGTACCTTTTGGACATAACGCAGTCTCTGAAAACAATCGGAGAGTCTAGTGGTCACCAAAATCACCGTTAAGGCGCACAAGAGGTAGGCCAACGACACAGAGCAGAGTGCCAGGTAGGCGAGCCACTGGCATAGTAAACAGCAACTGAGTGCACCACTCGAACCCGCCAAGTACAAAAATTCATGCGTTGAAGACCGGTTTGATAGCAGCACTCTGCCTGCAAAGTTGTGTCGATCGTCTTGAAGTTCTGGAAGGCAGCATTTGCTTTGGTGAACTGCCCGACAATCGATGTCAGGCAATACCTTGCCAGATTCTAGGCCAACGAAATGAAACCGCGTTGCTCATTCCAGCCATGTTCCGGAGAAGACAGAACCAGCACTCCCAAGCAGGGCCACATTGCTTCAACTAGACCGAGGGAGCGAGGTCCAGTAGCTATGCTCTGTGCTTTTTACGGAAGGTTGCCCCCTCATGGTATGTGGCGGGAGTCATGGCAAATAGCGATAGAAAACCCGGCTGTCACTAGATTGTCGCCAGCTGAGCAGCGCATACGCAGGGTGGCAAGCTGCAGACCAACTGAATCTGAGACACTGGCCCTAAGATCATTACCGTGAAGATTCCCGGAGATGAACTGGCAACGGCATGGCTGCATTGCTCATTTATGTTTGCACGTTTGAGACTAACAAGCCATGGCCGACCCGCTCATCCACAGCATGAACAGGTTCATGCCTACCTGGGCACTGCCATGCCCAAAGTATAACAGTATCATGCAACTTCAGAAGCAGGCTGAGCTTGGATCAGACTGGATGGGTGCAACAGCAACTTCCCATGCCTTCTTCTCTAGCAATTCCTCTGCAACCGACCAGTTTTTGGATGCAGTTCGCCGTTGCACACACTGCATGCTGAGTGCCTGATTTGCTGTCTTCGATTTGTTCTTTCCGGCAGCACTGCCGCTGTCGTCCTTTTGGCGGTTGCAAACGCCGTCTGAAACACGGAACAGTTGCAATGATGGAAAGCAGGGATTGACAAGGTCCATCGTCAGCTTGTACCCAATGGGATCCTGAATGCCATCAACCTGCTGTGCAGTTGCAGTGTGCTGCGCAAAGTTTCTTGGGTGCAGCCTTGTTGGATCCAGCAGTATCCAAACTGCTGAAGTCCCACTTGCTCCATGATACCTGCTGCGCAGCTGCAGTCTTATCTTGCTGAACCAAGCTCCGCACACAGTTGCCATGCCTCCGTCATCTGGCTGATGCCAACAGCCAGACAACACTCCTCTCTGAGCCCCAAAGCAGCAGGATGCAAACAAAGGACCCTATTTCCTCAGCAAATCATCGAACCTATAACTGAGCATGGTCATCTGTTCCCTGCAGCAAAAGGCCCTGTGCTCGAGAACCATTTCTCCTGCTTGCGCATGAAAAACCAATTTTGCTACATGTAGCAAAGTGTTGCGCCAGCTTGTGGGGTAGGAAGGCAAATTTGTTACGAGGATTTGCGCATGAATCCGCAATTTGCGTGCTCAGGAATACAGGACACGTCTGAGTGACCACCAACTCGCACGAAGCCCAGGTTCACCTATCCACAGCAAGGGCCCTTTTCCCTCAAGCCGCGAAGATCATACAGCAGTATGAGCACAGTATGCGGCAGCGGCATGCTTCTTGCACAACCACATCCACATCCACGGTGCTCTAAATCAATACTTCATGGCACAGTGTCTCACTTCAGACACTGGATGCAGCCGATCACTCCAAGTCCTAGTCCCAAAGGCCTCAGAGTGAGCATGAATGCTGCGGCAACAACCTGGGTTCTCAGCCCCTGACACTAGGAAGATTTGCACCGCGCGTGCAAGCTGCCCGGCCGGCCCCTGCTCTTAAGACACTAATCTTGTCACGAGTCTAGAACGACTACACTTTCTTGCAACTCGTGCTGGGCACTCTTTGCCTCGGGGCGCGCGGCCAGCCCACGACGCTGGGCTCCCATCACCATCAGCGCGGGGGCGACCTCAAAAGCTCTGGGCAAAGCGCAGTCATAGGCCAGTCATAGGATGACAAAGGGCGCATGGCCAGAGCAGCGTCTGAGGAGTCAGCGTACACGAGAAACGTGCCCAGACTGGCCCCGGCCAGCCTGACTGCTCTCTATGCATAGACTTCAGTTCCACACCAGTTTGACAGGAATCAACACTCGACCGTCTTCGTTGTGCAAGTAGGCAACGCAGCAACGACTCCCAGATTTCGCAGCCTTTGCGTCATGTGGAAAGCAAAATGAACACCATCTGCTTGACGAACTTTTTGTGAGGAGTGCGCTTCAAAGCCACAGCCGTAACACCTGACATACGGCTGCATGTGATCTGTAGGATTCTGTAGGATTGTGCTCCTTGTTTGCAGGCCGTGCCTGCCAGTAAGACGACAGTCATCGCCCTGTCGTCGAGGGCGGCTTGCAGAAATGTGAGAGCTTTAGAAATCTTGAGAAAATCTGCCGACATATTTCAACTTATTCTGCTTCTTCTGACGGTATGTTCGTCATCTGAGTTCGCATTTGAACCGCATCACCTATACAAATCTAAACAGTGCTTTGTGATCAACACGTGAACGACAAGCAAGTTCCAGCAAAAGCTAATACCGATGGCAGCACTAGCGACCGCAGCAGTCGCCACTACAAGGGAGTCCCATCACGAGCAGGTGAAGTCACATTTCCGCAGGAGCACCCGGTAGGGGAGACGTCACAGCATGCCGCACAAAATCATCGCAAACACTTGGCTCCATGCAAAGTCACAGGGGCACGCGGGGCGCGCTAGCGTTTTTCAGCAAACCGTAAGAGGAGCTGCACCCTCGAGAAGGGAGTGCTTTTTCTTATCAACACAAGTCGAAACAATTCGAAACACAAACAACTTCACCTCCGCCTTGCACCAACCTTCCACGAAAATTCCCGCCCCCAGTTTTAACAACCAACCTACATCATGCGATATCATGCGTCTTGCCGTGAAGGCTCATGTTTCCATCCCGCAGTTCCGGCCCCTGGGCACTTCACTCGTACCAGACACGTATTGTTGAGAAACATTGAGCGCTATAACCACCACATTCACAGTCTTCTGAGCCATCTGATCTTATCAACTCAGTACCATATTACTTTTTCGAGTGCAACTTCCGCGACCCTTCCAGGAAGCAATTGTGCGAACCTTCCGCACCCACAGTCCGACGTATATTTCTGAGATTGACCTCGAGTTTTGCGCCGCTAACAAATTAACTGGATTCTGGACACAAGCGGACTTTAACAAAAGACAACGCTGCTCAATTCAACCCAAAGCAAAGGTGACGGGAAATGCATGCAAACTCCGACTTCGCCTTTTGCACACTAAAAAAGGCTAACTTTGTGCCATTTTGTGCCTTGCCTCCATTTGGAAAACGCTGCCTTCCTCACATCTCCTCCCTCAACGCAGGAAACTATACGCCAAAGCCATCCAGCAAAGTCGCCACGAAGCCCTACTTGCTCTGCTTCGCTCCTCTGGCGACTCGTCCCTTGCCCCCGAGGCCGCACCCGCTGTGGCGATTAACAGTCATTGTAGTGGATGGCGTTCAGTCAATAAGTGGCAACATGAGCCGAGTGAAAGGATGTAAGCACGGCATGCACCTATCTTGCTCTGCTGCGCACCGCTCGATTCTGAGAAGGCACCTCCTCTGCGCTCATCCAGTGCTAGTATCAATGTTACGCAGCTGTCCCAGGCTGGCCTACTTCACTCATGGTGATTTCCAAAAACTAATGGATCCTCTTCTGGGAGTCCAGAAACTCGGTTCGTGCATACGTCGAAGTGTATTCAAAAAGGCTTGCCCTCTGCTTAGCCTGTGGGACGAGGAGGTCCAGTATGTCGCTGTTCATCAGGTCATGGAATAAGGGGGTATAGAAGGAGAAAATCCATAGCTTTTGGCTAAAACATGTACTCCTCTTTCCGTGGTCGGACTGACAACAGCTGGGTACCCTTCCATTGCGTCAGGCAATGTCAGCCAAGGGAACCAACTCAGCTTGATGTTTTGACTAGTTTTGACTGTTCTGCACAGGCACCGCCATTTTCTGACTCGGTGGGCATTTGCAACCTGCACTATCTGATTGTCGGGAAGCAGGTGTGATTGAGGCATTCAGGTTGCACCAGCCAGCTTCCAAACGCTTCAGAAGGGACATGGGCCGATCCCGCAGGGAAACTCAGATGACAGCGCAATGCATTTTCCCATTCCATTGCCTAATCCGCCCAAAAAAGCTTCTTGCGCAGAGCTGAAGCGCAGCTACGACAGCAGGATGTGCCTCGGCCTTTTCTCAGCCATATCGGCCCCTTGGCTTCCGAGAATCTCCAAGACCTGAGCAAAGACTGCTCTGTGCAACCGCGCCAGGAACTTCGCGTCAGACCTTCATGAAAGAACTCTCTGGATCTGCCAGCCTGCTTGCGCAAGCTGAAGAAAACCAGCGGGTAGGCTGTGACCTGAATGTCATGACAATGTCGACATAATCTGGGAGGCACTGGAGGCCAAGGTGACCCAAGGATCTGGCCAGGGACAACACGATTGCTGCTCGAGCAAAGAGTGCAAGACCTGCTTTTGTCAGCATCTGCTTGACTGCTTGACGAGTCCACTCTCCAAATCACGGTGAGGCCGCGGCTGTCCGTCGCAGCATAGTTGTTGAGGATGAGGCCCATGCAGGAGCTACCAAAGGTCAGGAAACCTGCTTGCCCAGTCCCCCAAGACTTGCACGGCCGGCACACACCTACAGCGCCTCCAACCATGACTAGGCTGAAGATGAGGCCTCGCAAAGAACTGATGCTCAATAGCTGATGTGTCGTGCCAAAGCTTAGCTGTGTCTACCACTTGTTGGAGGATTGCTTGTTCAGGAGTTTTGCTCGCTCAGCATTCGGATCAGTGTTGAGCTGCATAATTACAGGTGCGATATGCCAGCGACGGTGCTACCACAGCTCCCAGACAGTCATGATGCACCATTCAAAATGCTATCAGTTCACATCAGAGCACAGAAGCGTCTGGAAGAAGGAAAGGCATCGTGATATGAAATTCCCGTAGCTTTGTAGCTGAACACGCAATCTTGCCCCAACGATGCGCTTTGATGGCAGTGCAACCCCCTGAATCTCCTACAAGTCGAAACCCAAGAGCATGCCGTTTCTGTGTGGTGTCTGGAGCACAAATGAGCACAATCTCCAGGTTTTCTGCGCATGTAACGGTTGATACCGACTCCAGTACAAGACTGCCTGCGCCCCTTTGAGGCCTGCCGTGCAAAAACCCAGGACTGACATGATGACAAAGCGCTTGTCCTCCAAGACCACAGGACATGAGTTGCTTGCGAAGCTTGCAACAGCCGTCCTTCTTGCCGGTCTTAGGATCGGGAGCCAGCTGCTCTAAGAATAGGGGCGCCTCTGCCAGGACATGCTGGCATCCGTCCTACCTTGCCCAGAAAGGCGATCCAAGGAGAGAGCATTGTAGTGCGCCAGAAACGCTGTGGCCAAGATACTCAACAAAACGCTGAGACCTACCAACATGGTTGAGAGCAATTCAGTCAAAGGCGAGCAGTCCATGCACCTGGGCTCATCATTGTTTGCCAGGCACCTGATGCCGCTGTGAACCTTAAGGCGCAACAAATTTGGCTGCAAATTGCGCGCACTTCAGGAATGAGGGGCAAACTTTGGGGCAGCTGGAGCTGCAGCCAGCAGAGCACTGCCCTGAGACGAGACTTTTCTAATCCTCAAGACGAACACAATCTGAGTGGTGGAGAATATCAAAATAGCCTTGCGATAGGAGCCATCCACACAACGTAAAACCACGAAAGTGCATATGTAGAAGTTGCTCAACCTTGGTCCACGCGGGCGTTGCTGTCCAAATGGCTTGCATGGCGCTTGCTTAGGCGCTAGCACACCCAACAGCGAAAACTTTGCCAGCGGCGCCAGCCTAAGGATCAAATCGTTGGAGCCAATCCGACCGCCCGAGTATGACCCAAGACCCAAGAGTAGGATTGTCTGGGATCAGGACGACTTCATGCTGCAAAGCGGAAACAGCACCTCATGACGACAGCCAAATGATGTTCTCAAGAAAATGTCTCGTATTTTTCTAAGGAAGGCACCGTTGCTGTAATCAGGAAGATCACAGCATCTCTGCTGGCTACCACTGTAGGCCTTCAAACAAGAGCAGCTTGCTTAGATCAAGCAGGTTTCCAGGTTTCTAGGGCTCTGACAGATTCATTGGAGCTAGCCTCAGCTGTGGGACCGTTGCCTTGCCTGTTGTGCTGCATGCATATCTTCAATGCTGCCATCAGTTTTCAGGGCCTCAGTGTCTCAGGCAGCATCAGTATTTGATAGGCGGATGCCCTAAGATAGAGGCCTTTACACTAGATTCTCCTTGACACATGTGCTGCAAAAAGCCGAGCTCATTTGCCTAGCATAGCCGTGCATAGCTGAATGCTGACGCGCAACATCAAGGATATGCAGTCGCCCAGAATCATGGAAAAGGAGATGCATCCAATGGCTGCCTTCAAGGCTTGATATGCCTTGAACACGTCTCATTGAAGTAAATGCAATGAGTTATCTGAGCCTTTGCGAGGCAAGCAGCTGCAGGTAGCATCTTGGTGCTCTCAGATACGCTGCGGGCCCAAACCCTGCAACAAATTCACTCCCTTGCAGCCTACAGAACAGCCGAGCACAGCATTGCCTGGTGTACGTGCTTTCGCCTGTTGCCTCGCAAGCTTGGGCAATCAAAACCTGCCAGAGCACAGAAGTCATTGGTCCATGAAGGCTTTGCAGACAGTCTAAGGGCGAAGCAAAACCGTACGCACCTGGCTTCGTTGCAGATCAGTCGATGGACAATCAGCTGATTTGCCCCTAGGGTCCTGTGTTGACAAGAAACGGCTGTTCAAACGAAGGTGCTGGTCACGTGCACTCAGTATTGACACATGGATTCTGACAACCCACCCCTGTTCCGGCCATTGTCCCAATAGTTTAAAACACAAGCTGGGCCTAGCTCCGCTTGCCTTCATCATATGGCCACCCCCGCATAATCCTTTTTCTGCTTTTCAGGAATGTTAACTGAGCCCGGATCAAGTTAAAGCTTCTCCGCTGCATCCTGCTCTCACACACCCCTCTCGGTACTTTGCTTTACTTCGTGCAGTTGCAGTGTGAGAACCCACCCATGAGTTTCTCAATCTCCCAAAGATCTTGACTTGGAATGAAAGCAAGCAATGTACTAGTCCTGCTTTGTAAGCGCAGGCTTTTGCAGACCTGCAATTAAGCGAAGAGAAAAGAGCCACCAGTTAGAGTTGTGGTCGGACCCAAAAGCCTGCTGCACCTGCATCAACAAGGGCCATTCCTTGGTCCTTTTTGAAAACCCCCCTCCCCTGCCCCCCCTCCACCCCCTCCGCCCCGCCCTGCCCCCTTCCAGGGCATGCGCAAGTGCTTACTTTGCATGACACCAGCTTCCTACAATCTCTTGAGCTTGGCACTGAACACTGCTGCAAGGAAAGTCAGAATCAACGACGGCACCACAGCCTCCGTGACAAAAAATCCGCGTTCCGTCCCAGCTCAGCGGTGTCATGCGCGGTGCACGCAATATCACGCAGTTGTGCCTCTGAGCTTGCGCTGAAGGCTGCTACCTGAGCGTGTTCCGTCAGCAGTACAGGTTGTCTGCAACGTGTTCAAGCAGCTGAGGTCGCCAGCACCGTGCGGCAGCGAGAGCATTCCAGCTCCAACAATGTTTTTCACGAGATTCACCTCAAGCCGGCTGATTGCGGGGGGGGGGGTGGGGAGACGAGTTCTTGGGGAGTCTTAGGAAGGAAGCACAAAAACAACTTCCACCTCAATTGCAGACCTCCGAGACTCTGCACGGCAGAGTTGCAAGCACGTCCCGCACAGCACAGCGATCAACATGTGTTTAGCCGCAACTAGCACCAGCTGCTTCTGCTGCTGCTGCTGCACCTGCTACTGCGAGTAATTGCTATTTCTGCTCATCTCGCTCTCCTCCCTCGTGCTTCTTGCAACTGATGCGGCTGCAGACAATACCATGCCAACACCGCCAGCCCTGCAAACGACCGGAGATGGAAAGCATGTACAGGGCCGCTTCAAGCACACCTCTAGGCAGTAGTTTCACATGGTGTTTACCCAAGACAGTCTGTTACTCATGATGTTCGCGCAAGAAGCCAAAGTCTTAACAACTGCCGGAATGATTTCCTTGGTTGGAAACCTTGGCATCTAGCAACTCCTCGACACAAAAAAGCCGTGCCAACTGCTTGGATCCATGGGGCACACCGCCAGTCGTTCTTGAACCCAATTTCAGATACAGCCTGCCCTAGTTCCTACAACATGTGTGACATTCTGCCAGAAATCGATCTAACAGTCCTCCTATCCTCGTTGGATGTCTCACAGCTTGTGCAGGCTGTAGGCTTGTCACCAACTCTAGCTTTCGCCTTGTTTTATCGCGCGATTTCCTGGCAAAACCTAGGCAGCTGGAATCTAAGAGGCGGGGCCTCAAAGGCTATACCTAGACCACGAAGTACACCACAAGGCTTCTTCCTGGTCGCCTGAACACTTTGCAAGTAAATGTGTCCCAGTGGCCTCCGAGGGCCACAAGAAATAGAAAATGCGGCTTTGGGCGTGGAAGGGACAGAACCCATCATTGAGAACTCTAGCAGCTTGCAACAAACTTCAGCCTGCGGCTATGGAAGTGTTTTGCTTTTCGCGTCCTCTTGTGCGGACCGGAGCGTTTATTTGATGATCAGTTCGAATGGTCACTTCGGCAGGACCAGAAGGCAGAGACATGTAGAACAACGCTCATATGCTCCGCAGAAGGCTTTTCTGAAGGTTTCAGCAGCTGGTCGGATACAGCAGTTTCCATGAAGGCTTCAAAAGGTCAACGGTCTGCTGAAGGTGTAATGTTGGGTCCTGATTAGTGTAGGGGCCCCCCAAACAAAATCAGGTCCCTATTTAGTGGAGGTGGTTTTTAGGTTGTAAGTAAAATTCATTAAAATTCAATAGAGGATCAGCCAAATCTGGATCGTAGGTATTAACTGAAATTAAACAGGAGGGTTCAGGATCGGCTCAGAATTGAGCTGTGGCCTAAACCCTTTGAATCTTTTGTTCTTATTTGTTGTGCTATCGCG